GCTGTCCCTCAGCTCTTCAGCTCAAGGCTAGTGCTCTACCACTTGAGCCACAGTGCCACTTCTGGCTTTTTTCTTTTTGCTTATGTGGTGCTGGGGAATCAAACCCAGGGCCTCATGCATGCAAGGCAAGCGCTCTACCACTGAGCCACCTTCCCAGCCCGAGGATTAAGCGATTTGTAATTGTTAAATTTTGTTTTACAAACATAAGTTGGGGTAGTACTGTTAGAATCAACATTATTGTAGTGCGTACAATCTATATATTCAGTTAAAACCTACCCAGATCTGTTTTCCCTGTCCCATCCCAAGCCTTACTCTTGGGACTTGTCTGGCTCTCAGGTTCAGGTACTTTCCAGTCCATCTTTCGGCCCTTCTCATAAAGACTCTTGAGCACTTTGTGGAAAGATTCAGGTTCAGTGCCATTCTTGCTTAGCTCCAGATACTTTCGGTAGAGTTGAAGGGCTGTGCGGGCATCCTCAATACTGTCATGGGTCTCCCCTTGAATCTTCAGGTCTAGTAAAAGTGGAAGTGGAATAGTTTCTACCTAATAAAAGGTGGTAGGAACATGTTTCCTACTCTGAGCCTGATTATCAGAAAATAATAAACATGTCTGCCCTTAAGTTCAACACCTTCCCTAAGGCAAAGGGATATTAAAGCTAATTAAAACCATTAATAAGTCCCACTAACTCAGGATCCTCCTTAGTCACCCTTTGTTCTCTAATAACAATCAGGGTCTATGTAGCCCAGGCTAATCTTGAACTGGAGATGGCCCTGCCTCAGCAGAACACAGCACCACAGGAGCCTACAAAGTGGAGCAACTCACCCAGAAAGTACCAAGCAAGGAACCGCAGGGAAATCATTCGTTTTCGTGGCATGTGGAATAGGTAGACAGTGTCAAGGACTTGGTCCTTGGGCACCTGGAGGAATAAAAGAGTAGATAACAAAGTAAGGGATCTATAATTTCCCATTCTCTAAAGGGTCCACTCTCAAAAGTGATGAAAAGTTCAAACCATAAGGTTGATGACTCGGAAGTCCTTCTGTAGGCCATGACCCACAAATTTGACTCCAATATCAATGAGAAAACGAAGCTTTAAATAGGTAGACTTGAGAGTTGTGAGGTGCTTGGAGGAAATTTTGGCATCAAGGTCTCCTGGCTTTATCCCAGAGTACTGAGTCAAGTAGTCCACCACCTAGGAGTAAAGGACAAATCATGCAGGATGTTCGGTGCAGTCTCCCACCATGTTTCCTGGATTCCCAGGAGCATTCTATGTACCGAGTCTTGTCCCATAGCACCTCCACATCTTAATACCTGCTCCTGGGTGGAGATGTAATCATCAATGAAGGGGATACCCTCATTGGGTCCTTGGCCCCGAACACAGGTGATTCTAGCTACTGACATCTGGCTTGGTTTAATGGTAGATTTGGTACCATCGCTACGTAGTTCTGCTTCTTCCTGACAAGAATTAATAAGGACATCAGAGAAATGTTTACATTTCCTAGTAGCCTTATCATTCTGTTCTAATGTTCCATTCTTTCAGTCTTAGGTTACCTCATTAAGAGTGACAAACTCAGCATCAAGGCCCACCAGATCTCCAACCTGTGGCATCTCATTGAGCATCAGTGGAATAAAGGTAGTATGCGTTTTCCGCTGCTTCCGTGCCAGTGAGGCTTCAGCCATAAGCACACTAGCCTCAATAGGGTTCTTGACTGGAAGAAAGAATGCAGAGAACAGAGGGCTGGAAACAGCAAAGTGACTAGGAGAAAGAAACCTAGAATGGCTGATCAGAGATCTGAATCTATATGTGAACCCTCAATAATCAAAATACATGAGTAAAAAGATTCTGTCTAACTGGGCACCTAATGGTGGTAAAGTTGGCTCATGTCTATAATCCTAGCTACTCGGGAGGCTGAGATCAGGGGATTGTAGTTCAAAGCCAGCCCAGGCTAGGAAGAGGGGCTAGGAAGGTGGCTCAGTGGTAGAGCGCTTGCCTTGCATGCCTGAGGCCCTGGGTTCGATTCCTCAGCACCACATAAGCAGAAAAAAAAAAGCCAGAAGTGGCGCTGTGGCTCAAGTGGTACAGCGCTAGCCTTGAGCTGAAGAGCTGAGGGACAGCGCCCAGGCCCAGAGTTCAGGCCCACGACTGGACCCAAAAAAAAATTAAAAAAAAAAAAAGGAAGTCTGTAAGACTCTTATCTCCAATTAAATCACAGAAAAATCCAGAACTGGAGCTGTAGCTCAGTGGTAGAGTGCTAGCCTTAAGCAAAAGTAATTCAGGGACAGTGCCCAGGCCCAGAGTTCAAGTCCCATGACCAGCAAAAAACTAAAAGATTCTTTCTGCTTGATAAACTACCTACCCAGGTAGACAAAGCAGAACAAATCAGAAAATATTCAAAAAATATGTCAAGAAAAATTTAGAGATGACAGAAAAGAAACAGAGCTTCACTTTAGATCTTAGCTTAGAAAACCCAGAAAAGAGGCTGGGAAGATGGCTCAGTGGTAGAGCGCGTGCCTTGCATGCCTGAGGCCCTGG